AACACCCAAAAGTGTGCAGCACTATTATTATTATTATTAATTTCAAAGATTGTCATGAGCTCAGGCCCTAAGCTGTGGCACACTTGTCCTAATAATAAATACAGCCCTGTTTCCATATCACTTGTCGCTTCTCAAAAAAAGCTTCACCAGCAAATACAGAAGAGAAGATTAAATCCAAACAAGACAGAGGTGTTTACTATCAAAGAGTCCTTTTTAATTGGTATATTTTGAAGAACGTATTCTATGAGTGTAGCTTAATGATTTTATAGCATTGTATTTTAACTGTTGGCTTTATAGGATTTCTTTTTTTAATCGTGTTTTGTATTTTAGCATGTTCTACCCTGCCTCGAGCCTTGAGGAGAGATGGGAAAGAAATTATTATTATTATTATTATTATTATTATTATTATTATTATTATTATTATTATTTGCTGGCTGGCACCTTAATGTCAATGTGTGTGTGTGTTTTGCACATATGTCCATTAGAGGGGAGAAACATTTACCACAGTCCTGCTTAGAGGTTTCACTTCTAATAAAATAATAATAAATTATTTATTTATAGCCCGCGCAATCACAAGGAATCCGGGCGGGTTACAGCAATAAAAATGCATGGAATACAAATAAAATTCAAAATCAGTACCTTCCCAACACCCCCCCCCACTAAAATTACAATAAACAATCATAATTCAAGAACAAAAATACAAAAAGTTTAAAAAGAGGAGATAGCACTTATGGTATTTCTTTAATTGCCACAACTGCATCTTATGGAATCCTGGGATTCGTAGTTTGGAGAGGCGCTAAAGGTTTCTTGGTACAAACTCTAATTATTCCTCCCTGAGCTGCAAATCTGAAGATTTCATAGGATGTGGACGTGGCAGTTATAGTGGAATCGTAGCGCTATACCTGTGTAGTGCGAAAGGGATGCTGAAGATGGAGGTGAGAAGAGTGGCAACCTTTGCAACCTGCATCAGACACTCACAAGCGAAATCAAAATTTAGGGACAAGATCAGGACAAGACCCTGCTAGCTATGGAGGGTCAGCCAGGTTGTGGGTGTATAAATAAAGGGGCTTTGTAAAGAAAACAATTCAGAGTTTCTCTGGCTCAGCGGAGTAGTCATCCGGGGATAATCTTGGAGTCTCACAAGAGACCAAGTGTTTGATTGCTCCTCCAACCAATCTTTGCAAAGGAGGAAGGGGGAAGGCACTTCTCTTGCAAGGAAGAAACCCCATTTACTGACTCTCAAAATCAATCTCTGAAGCCTTAATAGAATAGCAGGTTCATCATCTGCCCATCCATCCCAGTGATCCACAATCCTTTTTGCGGATCACAGGACCCTCTGAAAATTTGATGAAAGCTTTGGACTTTGGGGCTTTGGGACACAATTGTCAAAGAAACCTCCACAAACCTTAACAACTTGGGAGAACAAATCCCAGAATCCTTACCCAGCATGGCCATTGATTGTGGATTCTGAGAGTTGTTATGAAAAAGTAACTTTTTAAAGCTCAGTATATATATGTATACACACACACACACACACACACACACACACACACA